GCGCTGACGGCGAGAGAGAAGGCCGAACGAGAGAGAGAGAGGGGGGTTTATGGTTTTTGATTTTTAGGCTCCGATACCATGTAGAAAGGTTAATTTCATTGATTGAATATGTGGGAGTACATGTCTATATATACACAAGGATTCCTAATCCTATACAAGGTAGGAGACAATAATAGGAAACAATATATTCCTAATCCTATACAAGGTAGGAGACAATAATAGGAAACAATATATTTACATTAAATATAGAATATATTTAACAATACTAACAAACATGTGATTAGGTAATGCCAATCATAATATATAATGTTTACTCTGTTAGAAAGAAATATAGAGCTTGTGCTAACCTTGAGTGATTTCTTATCGCTGTTAATATCACACTGCCACATTAACCAGCAAAATACATTGTCAATAAAATATAATGTCAAACATTACACCACATAATGTCACATATGATAATACAAAATGTCACAAATGCCCATATGTAATGTTTCAGATGCAAATTGACTGTGTCACACAAAGCTAAATAGGCCATGAATCAGATAACTGTAGTGTAAAAAGTTTTATGAATCGACATATGCATTCCTGAAAAATAATGAAAATTTAGGGGACAAAAATGTATCTTTACTTTGCCAATATAAAAATGGTACGCACAACTGATAAATGATGGACAACACATAGCTCCAACTATCAATAATCAAAGTCCAAAAAAGGTATAAAAAAGTGACAAAAAAAGGTTTTTGGAAGGGGAATTTTGTCGAATACCTTTTGGGCCTCAAACACATCGAAACAGATCGAAGAAAAGAGGCATTTCCCTACTAGTGTGAACAACAGAGAAGAGATTTTGACATAAAGAGAATGAAAAACACAGAGAAATTTGATAGACATAGCTTCTTCAACAATAATAAAGCCCCAAACAATGAACTCAATCCAAAAGTTATTTGCGAATGGAAGGAAAAGGAATGGCAATGAGGGGGGAGATGACAGAAGGAATCAACGATGATTGTGGCAGAGGGTCGCTGACAATGGTAGCTACGACAGCAGATGCGATGGTAAAGAGAAGAAGCTAAGGAGAGATAAACGACGAAATATATTTTTTGCGCGGTCAAGAATAATTGATCGAATACATTTCGGTTAGGATAGCATGATCATCACTCAAGACACTCATTACTTATTTAATTACTCCTATGTAAGAAAGTTTAAGTTTGAACTCCTATTAATAAGATATGACATATGTTTTACTTCTATTTAGAGGGTTTTCTTTTTAATACTACGTAAATTGAAAATATATAAATAAATATTACCGAATACATTCTAATATACTTATTACGGTTAAAAAAAGAGACAAAACATAAACCAACCTAATGAAATTTCCAATCCATTACAAAATATTGAAATATGTTTTTCTCAAAATGATTATTTCTAATTACTATGACAAACTAAAAACAATACCTAGAATTAAATAGAACTTATATAAATATACTCCCTCCGCCGTATATTAGATGCCACACTCCAAATAACATATAAAGTCTCATTAATATTAAAATTATTTTAATTTCAAAATAGTATAGGAATAAAAAAATTTATAAAAAAAGAATAAATTTTATAAAGTAATTTTATAAAATAAGACGTGATAAGAGTATTTTATTTGATAGAAACTTTATATCATTTAAAAGTACGTAAACGTTTTTATAAAATAAGAGATTGATAATAAAATTTTATTTTATCAAACTATGAATAAAAATGTATATAAACAAACATAAATTATGAAAAACCGATAATATCCAATGGGAGGAAAAGATGTACTCCCTCCGTTCTAATTTATAGCGTCTGTTTCGGTTAATGATGTTTGACTTAAATTATTTTATATGACAAATGATATAGAATTAAAAAATGAAAATTACAAATTCAAAATAGTACAAAACTAGTAGTGACAATAGTACTTTATTTTTTTTCAAATTGCTAACGAAAATAAGAAAAGAAAGTAAATGAATTTTGATCGTGTAAATATTGAAAAGATGCACTGTAGATTGGATTGGAAGGGAGAGAGTAATATGTAGAGCTGTGGGTTACTACATATGTCACATCAAACACAGGGAAGCTATTAGACCCGATACGTCAATTCTTTTGTTGTGCGGACGGAGAAAGTCATATATACAGTCAGTATATGACTGGAATCACGGGATTAGAAAAGGAAAGTAGAGTCAAATTTTCAAGTGAGAACTTGGAGAAATTTAGATCGACCAGAGGCTGCTTCAATCCATCCCCCCCCACAGCACTCATTGCCCATCAAATGAAACAAACAAACAATATAATGCTCGTTCACCCTTTCCCATGCCCGCAGCTGCCCAATTGTTTCATTAGAAAACTTAATTGCTTCCGTTCATATTATTAATATACATCCCGAGTATTCTGATCGCCGGCCGGAAATGGATCGCCTGCCAAAATGCGGGGCGAATTATGTGCCACTCACCCCCATCACATTCTTGAGAAGGGCATCCAAGTGTTACGCCAACCGCACCTCCCTCATCTACTCCGGCGGCGGCGTCCGCTTCACCTGGCGCCAGACCTACCTCCGCTGCCTCCGCCTCGCCTCCTCCCTCCGCCGCGCTCTCAATGTCGTCAGGAACGACGTCGTACGTATTCCATCCTCGAGTTGGACCCATTACCTGCAGCCTCAGTCCATCTCGATATTGATGGTTTTCCTAATGATGTGTGTGTATTTAATTTAATTCATAGCAGGTTTCGGTGCTGGCCCCGAATGTGCCTGCGACGTACGAGATGCACTTCGCTGTCCCGATGGCTGGGGCGGTGTTGAACACCGTCAACACCAGGCTGGACGCGAAGGGCATCGCCGTCATCCTCAAGCACTCCGAGGCCAAGGTCTTCTTCGTCGACTACGAGTACGTGGGCAAGGCGAGAGAGGCGTTGGAGCTGCTGGTGGCGGAGGAAAACACGCCGATGCCCATAGTGGTTCTCATTGACGACATCGCCTCCCCCACCGAGACCAGATCAGGTGAGCTCGAGTACGAACAGTTAGTGTGCCAAGGTCGCGAGGAGGAGGAGGAGGCGGTCGCGGTAGGGGACGAATGGGACGCGATAACGCTGAGCTACACATCGGGCACCACCTCGGAGCCCAAGGGGGTTGTGTACAGTCACAGGGGAGCCTTTCTGAGCACTCTGAGTATGATTTTGGGGTGGGAGATGGGAACCCAACCCGTCTATTTGTGGTCACTCCCCATGTTTCACTGCAACGGGTGGACCTTCACCTGGGGGATCGCCGCCCGCGGCGGGACTAATGTCTGCATCCGCACCACCGCCGCGAGAGAAATGTACAAAGCCATATCGGAGCATGGTGTAACCCACATGTGTTGTGCCCCCATCCTGTTTACCATTCTACTGGAGGCACAACCACACGAGCGCCTTGAGCTGGTCTCTCCAGTCAACATTCTGACTGGAGGAGCCCCGCCTCCACCGGCGCTCTTGGAAAGGATCGAGGCCCTCGGGTTCCATGTCGTGCACGCTTACGGCCTCACCGAGGCCACTGGACCTGCCATGGTCTGCGAGTGGCAGGGGAAGTGGGACCGGTTGCCCGTAGAGGAGCAGGCGGAACTGAAGGGGAGACAAGGGATCAGCATCCTCACGCTCGCGGATGCCGATGTGGTCCGAGATCTCAAAAGCATGGAGAGGGTCCCGCGCGACGGGCGGAGCATGGGCGAAATCGTCCTCCGGGGAAGCAGCATCATGAAGGGCTACTTCAAGAACGAAAAGGCCAACTCCGAGGCCTTCAGAGACGGGTGGTTCGTCACGGGAGACGTCGGGGTCATCCACCCGGACGGCTACCTGGAAATCAAAGACCGGTCCAAAGACGTGATCATCTCCGGCGGGGAGAACATCAGCAGCGTCCAAGTGGAGAACGCGATCATGAAGCACCCGGGGGTCTGCGAAGTCTCGGTAGTAGCCATGCCGCACCCGAGGTGGGGGGAGAGCCCGTGCGCCTTCGTGGTCCGGAGAGCCGCGGCCAATGCGACGAGCGAAGGCGACATCATCGCCCATTGCCGGAAAACTCTGCCCGGATACATGGTGCCAAAGAAGGTCCAGTTCGTGAGGGAACTGCCAAAGACGTCCACAGGGAAAGTTCAAAAGCATTTGCTCCGGGAGACGGCGAAGATGTTGGCGGGAACGAGCAGGGGTGATGAGCCACCACCACCACCACCACATGGTCCGAGTAATAATTACCATCTTCTTCCGGACCAAATCCTCGTCCTCTCCCGTTTATGAATAACCAATGTCTAGATAGATTCACTCAAATCCAAAATTAGATTTTGGTCTTTAAGTTTTTTCACATCGCTCTCTCTAAATTGAGCTATTTAATCATTGGTTCGAGAATTCCAAATGGGAGGTCATTAAAGGGTTATGGCTTCCAAACTACAAAGCCCCCCCCCCCCACCTATATGTGGGTAGGATTCCACAAGGTAAAACTTTACCATGAAAATTTTATTACAAAGTTAGGATGGGTTATTATTAATTGTTTAATTTATTTTAAATTTAAAAAAAACAAAATATTCGGTATTCTAGAGTACTTGTTGATAGTTGTTGCCAGTGACTTTATAGTTTGTGAATACTTAAGGGTAGAAATGAGATGACATTGCAAGATTGACTAGTGCATGGGTACTACCCATGGCCATGAGTGCCCTCTCCCTCCCTCTCCCTCTAAGTTAAGAACATACAACAAAACCGTAAAAACCGATAGAATATGTTGATTTTGCGTGGATCAAATTTGACCCACACAAAATCAACATATTCTCATTTTTTTTGTCCTCGTGCTGGGCTTTTGAGTGGTATATATACCAAATGGTGTACTCATTTGTACACTAAAATATTGACTATACACTATTTAATTATTATTATTTTTTAATCCACATCAAAATTATGTGGTTGAGAACAAATGACATATATTTGAGGTATACTTTTGGTGTATCCCTAATATTTTTCTAATTAAATAATACATTATAATAGAATTATTTGTTACCAAACAAAAAATACCAAAAAACACTATAACTACCTTTTGTGGCAGCGATGCAAATTCGGCGTGAGGGGAGATAGGAAAGAAGAAAAAAGGAGGAAGGCGCAACGTCACGTGTTCAAACTTCAGTAAAACTAGTAATTCTATGAGTTTGGATAAGATGAAAAAATAATAATTTCGTTCGGAAACTATTTTCATTATTAATTAATTCAAAATCATGGAATTTTTGTTTATTTGTGTGTTTTTAATTAATTATTTGATAAAATAAAGTATTTTTGATATCATTAGTTTTGTTGATAGGCGTGTCGTAGCACCTACAAACTCTTAACCCCCTTTATGAATTAATATTCATTAAAACATATAGATAGGGCAAGTAAGGGTCGATCCCACGAGGAAAGATACTCTTTTAGCTACGAAAATCAGTTCACTTGTCACATTTATTGAATAAAAACTAACTAAAACTAAATAACTAAAACTAAAAGATATGGGGGGTTTGAATGATGATTCTAAAAAGATAAAAATGCAAATAAAATAAAGATAAAGGATAACAGATACGAGACGGAACCACAACAGCAAGCCAAACTCAGAAGTCACTCAGGGAGAAAACAAATACACAAAAACAATCACACATTAAACTTTATAAAAACGTAGACAATAATAATTAACTTAAACAATTTTGAAAATACTTATAGTTTTTAATAGAAAATAAACTGAACAAATCTGATTAACTAATTAATTATGTCTTGATTCTGAAATTAAACTGCTAATTAAACTCAGGGTTAGGCTGAAGAAGAGGTCCACCAACGGTTCTTCCCTATTTTCCCATTCATATTAGCTTATGTTAAGACCAACCCCAAGTCTAAACCCTACTACCCTTAGCAACCCAAAGACCAACCCTTAAGTTACTACTAAGAATAGCGCATTAAAATCTTTGGAAAACATCACCATAACAATCTTGCAGTAACACTACGGTTATTTAACAAAATCAGTTCGAGAACCTTGATTAGCAAAAAACCACTTAACGAGGCAGCCAAGACTAATCAAGTGACACTTAGCTTCTAGAAAAGTTCGGCTATTTAAAGCACTTTGGACTTTAAAAGAATATCAATTTAAACTAGATTAGGCGCGCGTTCCTAATTTGGTCCAATTTAAGTAAACTCTGGTGAATAATAGTTCTCTGAACACCTTTTTGAATTTAGATTTAATAGTAGCATAGAGCTAAAATCTCTTCAAAGTCAAATTCATTCAACAAACAAAGATTCAATCTTTTTCATCAAACAATTTGGCCTAAGAAGGTTTTATAATTTCAGAGACAATAATAAATCAATAAATCAACTTTGAACAATTCAACATCAACACACAAACAATTCATCACTTATAATATAACTTAAACATTCAACATAGAATTGGAATTGAAAATAATCATATTTAAATAATGGATATCAAATTCATCAATTGAAAATTAAACAAATTCAAAATCCTAATTCATAAAAAAATAAAATTGAAAAGTAAAAGAAATGCTCCCTGAATTAACTTCTGCGTTCACACTAAGCACAGAGCGAGACCACAATGGAATCGCCGTCCCTGCCAAACTGCCGCCATGACCTCGGCGGAACTGAAGCCGCCATCTTCGTCGGAATCAAGTCGTCGCCGGACGCTGTCGTCGCCGGAATTGTCATCGCCGACCTAGGGTCGGAACCCTAGGCCGGCACTTCTCTATTCATCATCTCCCTCTGTTCTCTGTTTCTATCCGATCTGGTATCTGCCCCCCTTCAATCTCATCTCTATCTCCTCTCTTTATAATTGAATTTTGAAGATATTGAATTGGAGAAGAAGACTCTGTGCAATCCACCTCTTCGCACTTCTTCCGCTGCTCTCCGTTTATTTCTTCCGTTTCGTGCGCGTGGAAAGAGCACGGCTTGTCTTCTTTTTTTTCTTTTAACTTTTGTTTTCCTTTGCTTCAATTGTGACTTGATCATGTGGGTCAAATTGACTTGGCCCAATAACTCTNTTTATAATTGAATTTTGAAGATATTGAATTGGAGAAGAAGACTCTGTGCAATCCACCTCTTCGCACTTCTTCCGCTGCTCTCCGTTTATTTCTTCCGTTTCGTGCGCGTGGAAAGAGCACGGCTTGTCTTCTTTTTTTTCTTTTAACTTTTGTTTTCCTTTGCTTCAATTGTGACTTGATCATGTGGGTCAAATTGACTTGGCCCAATAACTCTTTGTAAATATGTATTCAATTTTGACATTTCTTCATCCTTTTGTACTCCATATCTAAAAATTTGTATCAAGTAATAAACAATACTTCCAAAATATTTGTAGAATATAAATATGCTCAAAATTATGCATTTTATGTATAAAATGTAAACAATAGCCTAAAATGCTAAATAGAACAAAATGTGATTATTTAGGTATAAAATGCATATTAAATATCTTAAAAGTACTAAAAAATGAGGGAATAAAATATGACATTTTGTGACTTAACATTTGTACTCCCTCCGCCCGAAAAAAAACTTCCCACTTTGTCTTTTCTCAATAACGAAGCCCACTTCATCCCTCCGCCCGAAAAAAAACTTCACACTTACACATAATCGATTCACAATACAACTAACTCCACATAATGTGTAACACATTAACTACTTAGACACATCAGTTTGATATAATGCTCATCACAGTAGGTTTAGGTTTTTCAGACGGTGCATAACAAATTGCAGTCATCACAAAATTAGGCCAACAAAGTGCATATATATATATATATATATATATATATATATATATATATATATATATATATATATCACACAATCACTTCATCACTAAGAGCATATTTCTGTATCACTAAGAGCACTCATAAATATCACATTATGGTAAAATGTTCATCACAGTAACTTGAGTTTTCTCAAACAATGCCAAAAAATTACAGTCATCACAGAATTTGGCCAACAAAGTGCATATATGGAGCATTATATAACATGTAGACATACACATCACACAATCACATCATCACTAAGAGCACATTTGTGTATCACTAAGAGCACACAAAAACATCCCTTTATGGTAAATCTTCATCACAATACCTTGAGAATTCTCACACGATGCAAAAGAAATTCCAGTCATCACTGAATATGGCCAACAAAGTGCATTGTATAACATGCACACATACACACCACACGATCACTTCATCACAAAGAGTACATTTCTGTTAGCCTTAGTTTGCTAAACCTCATATTTTGATATTAGCAAACAATATAAGAGCTAATGTTTGTTTAAGTATTTCAGGTACAATAAGAATTCATTAAGATTCGGTTCTTAAGAATGAAGTCGAAATACTAAACTAGCGTAGAATATAGGTAGAAACAAATGTGAGGATATGATTTTATATACCTATATTCACAAGCTCAAAAGCTCTCACAAAATATGTTTAAAACCATCTCATAAACATATGCAAATAATTAAATTAAGCATGAAAAGAACCTAGAAAAAATAGATTTGGGCATATTTTTTATGGTCTGATATTTTTAAATAAACTCTAAAAATAATTTCAAAAGTTCAATTCGCTATAAAATTTCAGACAATCTCTATCAACTATAATGTACGTTACTAAGTTCTTATGATATACTCCGGGTATAATTTAATACTCCCTCCGACCCATAAAGATGGGTACATTTTGACTAAAGTAGAAATTAAGGGAGAAATAATTTTGTGTTGACTTTCCAAAAATACCCTTGATGTGATGGGTAAAAGTATGATGTGATGTGTAAATTATTAGGAAAAAGGTATGATGTGATAGGTAGGGTTTGAAAAGTAAGGGATAAAAGTGGTTTTTTAATAGAAATGGGTAAGGGATTGTGGGACACAATTTTTTTGAAACGTGTAAATCTTTTTGGGACGAAGAGAGTATAAATTATTTTGTAAAATGATTCTCCCTCCGTCTCAAAAAGAATTTCTCACTTTGAACAACGTACAAAATCTCATATATTTTTAAATTAAATTAAATTTTTACAAACTTGTATAAAAATAAAAAATAAACTACATATTTTAAAACAAAATGTAATAAGAATATTTTATTTTATTAAATAGTAAATAAAATTAGACAAATAAATACAAATTAAAGAGAACTCAGAATAGTAACTAAGATGGTATTTCAAGGACAGAGGAAGTATATAATTATATTGTTAAACATTTAATAAAATAATTAGAAAAATAAAATGTAATATAAGTGAATATCATTAAAAAAGCATAATTATGTTGTAAACTAATAGCCTTCTTTGGAAATAAACTTTTTAATTAGTCTTTTGGTTAATCTTTTAATGGTACAAATTAATTTTAAAAATGTTGTCAGACAAAGTTTTGAAAACATTAAAACTAAACGTTGATGTTTTTGCCAAATGATATTGTATCTCACCTTTATTTCATGTATAATAATTTATTAATTATACTACAGTACATGGCAAAATATGGAAATTAAATTTTTTTATTTTATTGTGTATATGCTTAAATTTCTATAATTCTTTCTTTGTCAAAATCAAGAGGGATGGAAGCATTAATATATTAATTAGTCTAAAATTGTTTATTGACTTTGTAATAGTAGCTGAAAATTGTTTCAGGTACAAAAAATATTTTGTACTCCCTCCGTTACACAAAACCCTTCCGGTTTTGATTTTTGGGGAAAAATAATGAAAGTAAAATTTTGGTTGACTTTCCAATTTTGCCCCTGATGTGATGGAAAAAAGTAAGATGTCATAGTTTGGTTATTAGTGAAAAAGTATGATGTGATAGGTAGGGTATGAAAAAGTAGGGGTATAAGTAGTTTTTTAATGGAAAGTGGAAGTGTTTTGTAGAAAGCAAAAAAACGAAAAAAGAAGGGTTTTGTGGAACGGAGAGAGTATATAAGTTATGAAATTACTTTATTTTATTATTATTTTATTAACATTGATGATGATGATGATACTAACAATAAAATTAATTATATTAATAATACGAAAAATACTCCAATATATTTATATTTTCGGTCATCTTTGAAACAAATAGGAAAAAGTTGAAGAAACTAAAATGGATTAGAAAGTATTGAAATTTTAGAGTTAGAGTCCAATAAAAGTATATAACATAATATAATTATAAATGAAAAAGAAAATAATGAGTAATTATTAAATAAGAATATTATTATTATTATTAAAGTAATCAAACCGAAAAAGTAGGATAACAAAAGCATAGAATGAGATTGAAGAAATTTTGTAATTTTAGAAAAATAAAGGAAACTTAATAATTAATCATATGTAGGACTATTATGTGACATAGAAGTACAAATGTCAATTAGTGCATGAAAGATTGAAAGGTATGAAAGCCAACAGTATATTGCGTATTAATTGCATTGATTCAACAAATTAAAGTTACTACAGCCTTTGGAAAGTGTTGGTTAAGACACTTAGAAAGTTGAAACCAAGCCCAAAATTAAGAATTAAGCTATTTGTAAACACAAAATTGTACTCCATTTTATACCATGAAGACATGCATCAACACTTTGTGCTAGTTTGTTACACACTGACACAAAATATCAATGCTAAATTTTTTTGATTGACCTAGCATTTTGTGCTAGTGTGAATCTTTAAAATACGGATGTAATTTTTTATAGTACAACTTGGAGTATACTTTTTGGTGTACTCTAAAATTAAAGATGCGTGTATTCATTATGAATTCGAGGAAAAATATGATATTTCATGCGTCATTCTTACTACGTCATTGTATTTGATGAAATTGCGTGCATCACGAGGAGAACTACATGGTTACTTCCTAACCACATCCAAATGACTCAACAGTCGTTGGTATGACCTCCACAGTTTCAAACTCTTTGACTACATATAGTTTCCCCACTATATATATATATATATACACACAGTCACACACTTCCCCTTGCCTCTCAAGTAAAACTAAAAAACATTCCTCTCTATCCACTTATAATCACTCCAAAACGACTTTAGAAAACTTATAGTCCTTTATTTTCCTAGACTAGAAATGGATCGCCTGCCAAAATGCGGGGCGAATTATGTGCCACTCACCCCCATCACATTCTTGAGAAGGGCATCCAAGTGTTATGCCAACCGCACCTCCCTCATCTACTCCGGCGGCGTCCGCTTCACCTGGCGCCAGACCTACCTCCGCTGCCTCCGCCTCGCCTCCTCCCTCCGCCGCGCTCTCAATGTCGTCAAGAACGACGTCGTATGTTTTTCGCCATTCTCAGAACTTGACGACCCCCTTTAGCATACTGATGCTTTTGGTTTTCCTAATGCGTGTTTTTATTAATTATATAGGTTTCGGTACTGGCCCCGAATGTGCCCGCAATGTACGAGATGCACTTTGCAGTCCCGATGGCTGGGGCGGTGTTGAACACCGTCAACACCAGGCTGGACGCGAAGGGCATCGCCGTCATTCTCAAGCACTCCGAGGCCAAGGTCTTCTTCGTCGACTACGAGTACGTGGACAAGGCAAGCAAGGCACTCGAGCTGCTGATGGCATCAAATACTCCAATGCCGCTAGTGGTTGTTATCGACGATGTCGCCTACCCCACTGGGACCCGGTTGGGCGAGCTCGAGTACGAACAGTTAGTGTTCGAAGGTCGCCTACCCGATCGGGAGGAGGAGGCCGTCGTGGTGGATGACGAATGGGATGCGATCACACTGAGCTACACGTCGGGCACCACCTCCGAGCCAAAAGGGGTCGTGTACAGTCATAGGGGAGCCTTTCTGAGCACTTTGAGCTTGATTTTGGGGTGGGAGATGGGAACCCAACCCGTCTATTTGTGGTCACTCCCCATGTTTCATTGCAACGGGTGGACCTTCACTTGGGGGATCACCGCCCGCGGCGGGACAAATGTCTGCATACGCAACACCTCTGCAGGAGAAATGTACAGCGCCATAACGGAGCATGGCGTAACCCACATGTGTTGCGCCCCCATCGTGTTTACCATTCTCTTGGAGGCGCAGCCACACGAGCGTCGGGAGCTGGCTTCTCCCGTCAGCATTCTAACCGGAGGGGCCCCGCCTCCCCCGGCACTCTTGGAAAGGATCGAGGCACTTGGGTTCCACGTCGTGCACGCTTACGGCCTCACCGAGGCCACCGGACCTGCCATGGTCTGCGAGTGGCAGGGAAAGTGGGACCGGTTGCCCGTAGAAGAGCAGGCAGGCCTGAAGGCGAGACAAGGGATCAACATACTCACACTCGCGGACGCCGACATGGTCCGAGATCTCAACACCATGGAGAGAGTCCCGCGCGACGGCCGAAGCATGGGAGAAATCGTCCTCCGGGGAAGCAGCATCATGAAGGGCTACTTTAAGAACGAAAAGGCCAACTCCGAGGCCTTTAGAGACGGGTGGTTTGTCACAGGAGACGTCGGGGTCATCCACCCCGACGGCTACTTGGAAATCAAAGACCGGTCCAAAGACGTGATCATCTCCGGCGGGGAGAACATCAGTAGCATAGAAGTGGAAAACGCGATCATGAAGCACCCGGGCGTCTCCGAAGTCTCGGTTGTAGCCATGCCGCACCCAAGGTGGGGAGAGAGCCCGTGCGCCTTCGTGGTCCCTAGAGCCGCTGCCAATGCCGGGAATACGAGCGAAGCGGACATCGTCGCACATTGCCGGAAAACTCTCTCCGGTTACATGTTGCCAAAGAAGGTCGAGTTCGTGAGAGAATTGCCCAAGACATCCACCGGGAAAGTTCAGAAACACTTGCTTAGGGAGATGGCGAAGACGTGGGCGGAAATTAGCAGGGGTGATGAGTCGGCTGCAACAAGTATTAGTAAGAGGAAAGCCCACAAGGAAAAACAGCTACCATATCAACCTCAAGAGCAAATCCTTGCTTTGTCCCGTTTATGACTTCTACTGCTCCGTACCACTACATAACCAATGTTTCGATCAGATCCAGTTCGCACAAATTTCACCATGCATGTAGAGTTGTCAAATAAAATCTCTGAGTATATATATAATTGCCTTTAATTTTTGAAATACTTTTCCTCCACCAACACGGCATTGCCTCCGTCATATTTTCACCACCAACACGGCATTGCCTCCGTCACCGTCACACTGACAGGGGATTGCACTGGAATTTTATTTTTTTTTTTGTAAAGATATCACAAGTACTCCTTAATCAAGAGACAATGCAATTAGCTGGATTTAATAATTTACTCAACGGAAGACTTTGGACATATGAAGTGTTCTTAATATTCTATCTACTGCAATTGATTAGGCTTTGGTTTCATTTGAAGGTTGAGAATTGAAATGTACTCACCGCCTTCATCGGTGTTAACAGTTGAAGAATTGAATTGCAGATATCCTCTCGCCTTTCATTTCTTCTTCTTAGATCCATTTTTTTTGAGTTGACCAGATCCGAACCCGGATCCGAAACTTTGTATCTCTTGAACTGGATCTGGGAGGATTCGCGGTTGCTTCCGTTGAAGGTATGGAGAGAAGTGACGCAGCAATCCTTTTAGGCTGCGCCGGCAGGTGACCACCGTGTAAGTCTTCTTCCAGGCTGCCTGGTTCCCGGACGAGTCTCGTCCGAATTCTGTATAGTATCACCGGAATTGGAGTAGGGCCTCTGGATTTTTGGCCGTGTGAGACCACATCGGCGGAAATTTCAACAGGGGCAAATCAGTGAATAAGTTGGTTAGGTCGGGTCCGTGTTTGGTTATTTCCGGTTGGGTTTACTTTGGATTCGAGTCAATTCGATTTCGGGTTGAGAACTGTATGTTCATAATTCAGTATCGTCGAGTTTGGATCGCTCTAACAGATTATGACTTTACTTTTTTAAATTTTTTAATTTATATTAACACTTGTATTTCACATTAAATAAAGCTTAAATATCAAAAAACATGTTTTAAATCTATTATATTTTTTATTTTAAATTACAAAGTAATTTTTAAATATATAAATCAGTATAAAAAATTTAAAAAATGCATAATTTCTCGATAAAAGGAAGATAATTATGCAATCTTATTAAAAAAATTTCTGAAAATCTAAATTTATACACTAATAATGAGTAGTGAGAAAAAATATATAATTATAATCTTATTTTTATAACATTATATTTCCTAGTACAGTATTCCCTCCGTCTTTGAGTATTTGTCCACTTTTAACTTTTTTGTCAAAATTGGTAAACTTTGACTTCAAATCAAATAAAAATGATACTCCCTCTGTTTGCAAAAAGACTTCCTATTTTGACTTGGAGCAAAAATAAGGAAGTGTTAAATTATAGTTGATTTCCAATTTTGCCCCTGATGTGATGGATAAATTATTAGAGAAAAAGTATAATATGATCAGTAGGGTATGAAAAAGTAAGGGTAAAAGTGTTTTTTAATAGAAAGTGGAAGTATTTTGTTGGACGTGAAAAAATGAAAGATAAAGTGTCTTTTAGAACGGAGGGAGTATTAGATATTGTTATAAAAATAGTTTTATTAGGTTTATTATACTCCCTCCGTCCCCAATTTAATTACAAATTGCGGGTTACGGAGTAAAATTTACTACTTTTTGAAATCATTTTATTTACAAATTGGTATATCAATAAGATATAAAAATTACATATTAAAAAACAATTAACCGAAAAAAAGTTAAAACTGGACAAATACTCAGGGACGAATGTAGTATATAATTTTGAAAAATTCTTGCATTAGTAGGTCGGTCAGGTCGGCTTCGAATTCGGTTGGATTTGACCCATTTTTAGCAGATCATTTTTTTGCCAGGTCTACAATTCAAGAATGAAAACTAGTACTCCCTCCGTCCTATAATGATCTTCCTGGTTCGCAAAACGAAGAAAAATCCCAAGTTTTTTCAATCTATTTTATTTAAATATTGGTATAGAAATAAAAAATAAAACATACATATTTAAAAACTACATCAAAAGTTCAACATAACAAGTGGTGACAAGAATATTTTATTTTATCATATAGGCCATGAAAAAACACAAATAAATATAAATTCCTGTGAAGTTGGAATAGTGTTCTGGGAAGATCATTATAGAACAGAGGGAGTACATTGATAAGACTCCTATATTAGTCCTTTTGATTAATTAATTTAATGGGGGGAATTCTTGGAAGATCATTAGATGCATGCTCTTTTATGAATCTTATTACATAAAAATGAGTATTCAATTACTCAAAAATGAATATCCATGAATGTACAAGAACACCTAAAAACCAGTTGTACAATATATGTCACGACAAAATGGTTAACAAAGAAAGGAATTGTAGGCAAAGAATTCGGCCATGATGGAAGTTATTCCATCCATGATCAACATTCAAATCATCCACAATTCATCTCGATTTCATGTATAGACCTTTCTCGTTAAAAAGAGCTCAATTGAATAGAGAATAGACATGCATACTTTGATATTATTGTTCTTGATTATTTTTTCAAGTGATTTAAAATCCATCACTTTCACTTACTCATTACCCTAAGCATGCCCCTTAGAAAGACTCATAGCCCTAACACCATTTATACGTTGCCAAAACAAATACCCAGTAACGATGCAAGACATACTCACCGCAGATGTACGAGAAACGTCGTACAACCAGTTGTGCGGTATATACTACGATAAAAGGGCTAACTGGGAAGGCAATTGTGGGCAAAGAATTCATGCATGATGGAAGTTATTCCATCAACTATCAACATTAAAAATGAGTCACAAACCACCTCGATTACGTGTATAAATAGACCTTTCTCGTCAAAGATGAGCTCAATCGAATAGAAGTAGACCTACATACTTTGAGATTATTGTTTTGGATTATCATTTCCGGTGATTTAAAATCCATCACTTTCACTTAGAGCTTGTTCTCTTTATCTGATGTGATTCTAATAAAAATAAGTAATAAGTAAGTTGAAGAGAACAAGCTCTTATTCATTACCCTAAACATGCCCTTTATACATGACCAAACATATACCCAGTAACAATGAGTCATTAATTTTTACAGAGCCAGCTTTAGAAAAGATCTTTTAATCCCAGCACAAGCCATAATCATATATTACTAGTCCACCACGTACTGCCTACTTTTATACCTGAAAATATTCTTACATATCTTACTGATAGAGGAGCACTTCTGAAGTTGATTTTCCATGGTTCTTGTTCAAGTTCTTGCCAGATGGGAAGGCGTTGTTGATGGTTGAACAAGTGATTTTGCATATGCAATGGGCAATGAAAGAAGTTTCTTCGGCTTGCTAACATAAGCCCTCCTCGTGAAGTTGTTGTAGTCATTTGCTTCAATCTCGTCTAATATCTTGCGGTACAACAGCAGCGACGCCCACACCTGAGAGCAACAAGAAAGAGAGTATAAAACGCTCGGCTCATAGTTTACTTGCTCCGTTCTCTTTTAACGGACCATTAAGACTTCTTTGGTACATTTGAAAAAACATGAATGAATGTGGACATGGCAATGTCCAGGTTCATTCGAAGTCCTGACGTATCACAAAAGTTATAACGTTTGCTTAGTTAATGTGAATGGAGGGAGTAAGTAGTTACCGGCCATCTACTGGCAGAGCTAAGATCGGTCACTCCACTCTCGGCCTCGTCAAAGAACTTCCTCGCTCGCTCAATTTGCTTCTTCATGAAGTTCCTCCACTTATCAGTAACTTTTCCAGCAAATATGTCATCGTCACAAAGTCCCGCTTGGGCAAGTTCATCTTGAGGTAAATAGACCCTCCCACGTCTCGAATCCTCGCCTACATCCCTGAGGATGTTAGTCAGCTGGTTGGCAATGCCCAGAGCCAACGCAGCGTTGTAGACGCTCTCTGTAGTCGCAGTTGATTCGGGAGCAATCCCCATCACAGGAACGCTCATCAAACCCACAGTTCCAGCCACATAATAGCAGTAAAGATACAGCTCGTCGAAGTTGCTGTATCTTGACTTCCTGAGGTCCATGCGCATTCCTTCAATCATGTCTCTGAAGGGCTGCAACCAACCAAAGACTCAAGAATTCTGGGATGTGCGAGGAAAATGTTTTTTTTTTTGAAAAAAAAGGAAATATTAAGGAATAAAAAATGAATCCTTTTCTGGACCTGAATATCAATGGAGAATCTGGAGACAGTGTCTGAGAGGGCAGCGTCAAGCATGTCAAACGGGCGCCCTCTAAATACATCGTCCAGCCTAGTCTCCCATCTGTCTAGCGCAGATGGTGTTATATGGGATGCATTAGGCCCGTCTACAAGTTCATCTGTTCTCCTACACCATACTGCTCAAAAATAGGATAGCAAATCAAGAACTGTTTGTTTCAAATTATTACACTTAAGTAGCCTAAGGTAGTAATAAAATAGCTTTTCTTTTATCAATATGCTTTGCAAAAAAATTTGGTTAACAGAAGACATAAATCTCATTTTAAGTTTTGTTTTACGATAAAAATATGAGGAATTTACGTAAATAGCACTAAAACATAATGACTTTCCCTAAATAGCACTACATGTGTTTTTTCCCCAATGTAGCACTTTTAGTCATTATCCATTAGTCATTATTCAAGTAAATGTTTGCCATCACTGGTCATTATAGACATTATTAAGTGCTATTTAGGTAATAAAACAATTTAAGAGCTATTTAGAGAAATGACTTAAGTTTTAGTGCTATTTAGTGCAAATATTTCTAAAGATATACCGCGTGGACTGTCTAAACTTGAAGTTTGCATAATTCAGATAATCTCTGTATATAATAAGATGCATCAGATTCTCACCATATATTGCCCAAATAGCTCTTCTTCTCTCAGATGTCATTAGCAGGGTCCCTGGAAAAAAAATCATTGAAACGATTGTTTTCCTAAGCACCCAACTAATTCTTCTTATTAACCAACAGAGCGGAAACAATAGGCTCACCTAGATAAAAAGTCTTTGCATACTCTGCACATATTTCACCACAGCGATCATAAGCTTCGTCCAGAAGGCCCAGATGTCCTGGAAGAATGATATTTGGCTTCACCCCCGAATCATCATCTCTGGATCTCAATTTCCTCTTGACCAAAGCAGCCTGCTTCAGCACCACATCGTACACCTTCTGCTCAGATGACATCATCACATCCTCGGCGGGATGAGCCACAGCACTCGAAAGTGCATACAATTTTCCTCCTCTCTTTAAGCTCGACCCTCCCATCGAAAAATATTTTGAATCATCGAGACATGCCAGGTTCTGTCTTTGTTTCTTATCCCTCTTAACACTACCATTGCACATCAAACTCTTATTCCTCCTGAAAAACCCAGACGGATCCAAGAATCCGCTTGATAGCTCCGAAGAGGGAGAAACAATCCGCGTCAAGGAAATCGACATCTTCAAGGGGAGAAACTTTCTGAACAACTCCTGAAAGATTTGGTTTTTGGTTTTTTTCTTTCCCTTCCCTTACCTTAATTTGTCTTGCTTGGCTGGCTTATAGCAAAAAATGGAAAATACCCACTAAACCCTATCCACTTTCAAGCAATGCCCACCGTGTTTTTTTTTCTTTGCAAAATAGTATGCAAACCCCACCAACTAATCAAACCCACTTTGCCTAAATCAACACACAGTGCGGTCAGTGCCTTGTGTTTACGAACATTGATGTCACCTATTATCTCCTTCTGCAGAACAAAATAGACAATTCATCATAATTTGTTCACTAAATATGAAAATGAACAACTAAATCTAGACAAAGGGGTATAGCTCAACAACTTGATC